CTCTTCTTGGGTCCATGATCCCAACAGAGGTTGTGTAATGGAGACATACGACAGTTGCTTCTGGATTACATGGATGTGTATCAGCCATACCTGCCTCCTACAAGTGTTGGTGTCTGGATGGCAATCATGTAACGATCTAAAGCAGAAACTGCTGGTGAGGAGGAAGCTGGATTGTGAAGGACCAGACCAGGCATCTGCATGAGTATCAGGGCTTATAAAGAGCTGGTTCATTGAGCAGCACCTGGCCACAGTAGCGCTGGTGTGCAGGAGAGCAACCCGTGCCACCGAGTGTAGCGCCTGCCACTGGTCTTTACTGGCCCTCTAGATACATATTTCCAATGGTAATTTTGTTATTAGTTTCACAGAAGCCATTCTTTGAGTTGTCAATTTAGCAAGCAGTGTTTAGCAAAGGAAAACCCAGATCATTTTGTTGTTGTTATAATCAGTTAGATTAGATCATTTTGTTGTTATAATCAGTTAGATTGGATGCCACACAGTTACTTGAAAGTTCCCTCTTTAACAAATTGGTCTGTTCAGTTTGTTCTAGATAGTCTTCACTATATCTTAGAAATGAATGATATTATTTTATTATGTTTTAAAAGTTTTCTGCCATTCTGATGGAACAGGAAGTGATGAGTTAGTATCAGTGAGTTATAGGCAGTCACTAGGAGCTTATGAATACCATACAGAGAAGATGTGTTAAACCAGTTTAAAATGGGGTTTGGAAATGACACCTAAAGACTGGAGTAGGTGTGGTAATCCCAGTGCCGAGAGGCAGAGATCTGAGGAGCAGGAGTTCAAGGTCATCTTCAGCTGTAAGAAAGTTTTATGCCAGTCTGGACTACATGATAATCTATGTCTGTCTTCTGGCTACGGGATTTGAAAGTTTTCGCCCTGCTAGGCGGGTAGCTCATTGTTCTCAAGGGTATTTATCTCTTAGAAAGTAGAAAGCTATATAATGGACGTCAGTATTAAAACAGCATCTCCCTCCTTGGGCTTTTAGAGCAGAGGTTACCAGACTTTTTCTGTAAAGAGCTACACAGTAAATAATTTAGTCCTGAGATGCTGTGACTGCTGTTGCCCATATCTTCCACTGTACATGGTACATAAATAAAGGAGTGTGGCTGCATTCCAAGAAAGCCTCAAATTAGGCAGCAGTCATTTGGATCTCAGACCTTAGTTTGCCAACCCCTAAAAAAAAAAAAAAAAAAAAAAAAAAGAAAGAAAGAAAGAAAGAAAGAAAGAAAGGATTGGCTAGTCTGGTACATGCCTTTAATCCCAACACCCCAGGAGGCAGAGACAGGTGGATCTCTGAGTTCCAGGCTAGTCTGACCTACAGAACACATTCCAGGACAGCCAGGGCTGCTACACAGCCAAACCTTGTCTTGAAAAACAACAACAAAACCCAAACCAAAATAAGAACAAAAAAGAATTGGAGTTTTGTCTATGCGGGTTTACCCTTGGAGACCAGAGGGCATCGGATCTTCTGGGAACTGGAGTGATAGGTGGTTATGGCTCACTTGGCGGACTCCGGGAACTGAACTTGAATCCTCTGAAAGAGCAGCAAGAGCTCTTAACTGCTGAGTGATCTCTCCAGCCTCTTAAAAATTTTATACCTATACTTAAAAAGAAAGAAAAAAAAAGGAGGCAAAATACAGTATTGCTAATTATCTTAAAATATTTTGCCTTTCCTTTTAAATCATATATATTTGTATACATGTATGAGCAGGTGCAGATGTGGAGGCTAGAAGAGGACATCATGTGTCCTGCAGCACTCTACATATCCCTATGAGATGGTGTCTCCTGCTAAACTGAAGGCTTGCATGTCCTCAGCTGTTTTCCTGTTTCTGCCCTCTCTCAGAATTGGGGTTATGGTGTGCCGAGGAATGCCTGGCTTGTTATGTGCATGTTGAGATCCAAGGCTGGTCATTGCGATTACACAATATCCTCCCAGCCCTAGAATTTTGTTTGTTGTACACAGTCTTACCTTATAGCTCACTTATGCTGTCCTGGAACTATTATACAACAGGCTGGCCTCAAACTCAAGGCAGGCTTCCTGCCTCAACCTCCTAGGTGCTGGGAATACCGACCTGAGCCACCACCCTGGAAAACAGTACATTCTTTGCAAACAGCAGCCGTATCTTGTACTTCCTTCTTTCTCATATCCTTTAGCACATTGCCATAGATGGGCAAATGAATAAACACACCTTAAAGAATGGTCTCCTGAATCCATTCTAATGTGAGGTTTCTGCTTCCCTCTTTGGGACAGTGTGTCAGAAGGAGCTTTCCTGGAGTTTCCTATTTGGTTCTCACAGTGTCTTAGGAAAGATGGGGACAGGACAAATTTGTTCACCCATAATGGAGCATGTGACTGAAACTCAGCTGTCTAAGTGAAGACCCTAACCCTGGTAAATGGTGGGACATGTTCCCTGTTGTTGCTGTGAGCTGTGCCTCTTCACTTCCTAGAGGGAGAAACAAGCCACAGATGCTTGTCTTTTCTTTCTGATCTGAAACTTTCTGTTTTGTTTTAAGTCTCCTATGATGGTCTAGCACTCTAATATTCCCATGTTCTTGGCATAGAAAGGAGTCACTTCTGTTCTCCTTTCTTAGGAGACAGATCTGAGCTGGGCAGGGTTAGAATGTTCATTCATTAAATGTGAGGCAAGGTCTTCCTGTAAACCAGTCCAGGGCTGTAAACTAGTGCCGCCCAGGTCCTTCCATCCCCAGGCACTCACTCAGGTTCTGGGATCTGTGAGCCAGCATACCTGGTGAAATAGATTCTTTTTTAAACTTATAGATAAAATGATCCCATTTCAGTTTCTCAGGAGACAAAGTCATTGAGTGTCTCTGTTGAGTTCCTGAACATTAGCCTGTCAGCCTCCATTTATGTTTATACTTACCTATGCTGTGTCCTTTGCTGAGAGTGCTTCTTATTGTGGGAGAGGGTTTTACACTCTAGAGCCAGCCAGTGGTGGCTGCTAGCTATAAGTATGAGTAGAAAGTTACCAACTGCTTTACTTGTATTTGATATTTAACATTACAGAGCCATTAAGATGGCCCAGCAAGCCATGGCAAGTGGGCTTGCTGACAAGCCCAACACACACACACACACACACACACACACACACACACACACACACACACACACGCACGCACACACCTACATAGTAAATAACTGCAAAACAGTTACACATACAGTTTTAAAAAGTAACTATGAGGGAAAAGCTCAAGTTCTACCTCATTACCCAAGGATAAGGTTTATCTTATCTTCCCACCTTTCTCTCAAAAACTCTGTAAAACAGTAGCTGGCATCCTAGCAACAGAGTCAAAACTGCTCCTAATCTCAGCTGTCCATCTCACTGTTCTGTGACTTGGTGTCTTTATCTCTACAGTACAGGGGAGGACACAATTGCCTCCTTAGGATTGTGGGCATTGGGTGATGTCACACATGGAAGGCACTTGGGGTGCAATGCAAGTGGATATTAGTGTGTGTGTGTGTGTGTGTGTGTGTGTGTGTGTGTGTGTAGGGCCAGAGAACAAGCTCAGTGTTATTCCTCAGATGCTGTTGGGACAGGGTCTCTCACTGGCCCCGACTTACCAGCAAGCTAGGCAGACTGGTCAGCAAGCCCCAGAGATGTATCTGTCTTCAACTCCCCAGTTCGCCATATCCTCCCCCCTTGTAAACAAAAACAAAATCATAGGTTCATGGAATTGGATTCATGTCCTTGTGTTTGCAAGGCAAGCACTTTACTGACTCTCTCTGTCTCTCTCTCTCTATCTCTCTGTCTCTCTCCATATCTCTCTGTCTGTCTGTCTCTCTCTCTCTCTCTCTCTCTCTCTCTCTCTCTCTCTCTCTCTCTCTGTGTGTGTGTTTAGGTAGATGGGTTTGGAGGTGCTGTGATTTTTAAACTGAACTTGCCTCAGCTGATGGCTGTCGGATGACAGCCTACTGTTGAGGAGGCATTCCTGTGGTGGCAGCAGCTGTGTGTCTAATATTGGGTACCAGGTCCCCCAAGTCTCTTGAAGCCCTACACTGTGTTCACTTCTTATTCTGTCATTCATTCACTTGTGTTTTTACAAATCAACAGCGTTCCAGAATTTCAAGAAAATGACCTTTTTCCTCTTCATTTTGAAATTTGATTTTTATTTTATGTATATGAGTGTTTGCCTGTGTGTATGTGTCTGTGGCATGCAGACTCATGTTTGTAGTAGCTGTGGAGGCCAGAAGATGATATTGAATGCCCTGGGACTGGGATGCACAATGTGGGTGCTGGAAATTGAACTCAAGTCCCATTGAAGAACAGTTAGTGCTCTTAACCACTGGGCCATCTCTTCAGCCCCTCTTTTTCTTTTATTATATCATTTTAAATTTAGGACAGTGACTTACAAAGAATATAAATCCATATAAAGAGTGATATACTCATAGGCAGGAGACCTGAGTTTTATTTTTATTTTACTTCTTTGTGTTTTTAATGAACCTTGAGACTCATGCTAGGCTTCTGCTCTGCTCTGCTACAGAGCTACAGCCCCAGCCCAGAGGACACAGATTTGCTAGTGACTAGGTTAATGTCATTAGAGACTTATCTTCTGTGTTTCACTTGGCAAATTAATTTTTTTTTTCTTTTGGTTTTTCTAGTCATGATTTCTTTGTGGCTTTGGAAGCTGTCCTGGAACTTGCTCTTATAGACCAGGCTGGCAGAGATTCACCTACCTCTGCTTCCCAAGTGCTGGGATTAAAGGTGTGCGCCACCACTGCCTGCCTAAATTATTTTATCTATTTCCTTTTCAGGGGCAAATAGTGTTTGTTGTCACATAAGTGCACACATACACATACATGCACGTGCGCACACGAGCGTGCACACACACACATACACACAAGTGTATGTATAATATGAGAGGGTATTACTTATTCAATGGGAAATTTTCATTATGAAGTAACTGGTTTTCTTGCTGTAAATGGTTGCTTTATATTAGACATAATTTCCCGCTTTCTGTTTCAGCTTCGAGCTCAGAATCAGGTCCTGAAGAAGGGTGTTGTGGATGAGCAGGCCAGTTCTGCTGTTCTAAAGGTATGCAGTGGAAAGCTGGGGAAGCAAAGGTTGTTCTGTGTTTGGGCAAGCAGGTGGTTTGGGGGATAAAGTCCCAGCTCTGACACTGATTTACTAGGGGAAGGGATGGTAGGAGTGTCTGCTGTATCTAACTTTCCTCCTTGCTTATGTAGGTATATTTTATGTCTCCTCAGCTAAAAAACGTAGAAAAGTACTGACTTTATCCAGTGCATTTCATCTGTAGTGCAAGGCCTTTGTGGAGCCAGATCTCTCGGGATGAATGCACCCTGTGTCTGCCATCACTAGGCTTCACTTTGAAGGGATCGGCCACGTTTGTATTCTCTTCTCCAGTGCTCAGCACGTGGGCCCTAAGAAATGAATTTGAATGTGTGAATCATGAGGTCCATTTACTCTTGCCATTAGTTTGTCACCTTGTAGTGATAGCCTGTGTTGATGTGCACACTGCTTGAGCAATTTGTTTTACCACCAGCACCTTTGTGAACTGAAGCATGATGGGCTGAGAAAGAAAGGATTTGTCTCTGCCCTGTTCTGTCTGCCATATAATAAATGGTGGCTTGTGATGTTTTTGATTGGAGAGATTTAGGATATGAATTACTTTCCTCAAACCCTTTAAGACATGATTACCAACTCTCCTAATGTTTAAAAGCTAGTGCTGAGGCAGTGTCTCCCCAATGGCCTGCTCTGTTTGGCTGCCCCCAATGCTGGCCTTAAGGATAACTCTGAGGCGGAAAGAATGTGTGGATGTCACGGCAGTGGTGCTGGGAACATTTAGTTCTCTCTGAGTGCTCACCACATGCCAGGCATTGTTCTGAGCACATACTACAGCCATTATCTTATTTCCAGCAATTCAGAAGGGATCGATAGTGTTATCACCCTGTTGCAGACACGGGGCCATAGATAGCAGTTGGCCCACAGTGCTTCTGAAGCTGCTGATTGGTTAGCACATTTGGAGCACCATGCAACTAGTGGTAACTCATGGCAACAGTGTAAAGAAACTGCTTTGCATCTTGTTGGTTCTGAGGTCGTTGCAATTATAGTACAGTGTTACAGTACACTGTAATTACAGTACAGTGAATGTTAGTGTGTTCTCTGATTGCTTTAATTGGATTTGCCCCTTAGTGAGTTGGATTGGACTTAATTTAAGATTTTATGCTAATTTACATTTTAGCTGGACCTAGGTGTATCTTTGACCTTCAGGTAAAAATGAAGGGCATACTGAATAAACAGTAAAGAGAAAAAGGGTTCTTCTACTGAACAGGGCACATGGTTGGGGCTCTCTAGCTGTCTTTGTCATGCAGAGCATCCCCACAGCACACACAGCAGCCATACCATTTAGGTTGCTGCTTCAATATAGTTAGAATATCTGTCTGTTAGTTTCACTACTTAGTCTTATAATTCTTCATTTCAGTGAAATTAATCAAAGTAATTATTTAAATAGACGGTAGACTCCGGCTGCCTTTGTTGGATATTAGGGAACACAAAACTGTAAGCAAAATGTGGTTAAAATAGTGTATTTTAAAAATAGGGTGAAACTATGTCTCTAACTTCCTATTTCTTCCCCCTTTATAAATAGTAGAACACAGGTCAGCAGATAGGATGTTATTGATATCGTATGGCTTGAATCTATTTTTTACGGGCTTCAGAGTGAACTGATGTGGACCAGAGTGTGAAGTCCTCTTGCGCTGTGTTAAAGTTGGCTTCAGAACCTAACAGGTGACAGAGTTAGGTGGAAGGAAGTATGCTGAGAAGACATGGACCTGGGCACGTAGCTCTACACTTGTGTAGACGTCCTTGAAGGCCATTAGGTTCTGTCCCCAGCATGGCTCAAAGAAAGAGAGAACTTACAGAGAAAAGAACATAATCAGATTTTTGCCCTTCCTTATCACTGAGAATTATTGTTAATAAGTCTGTGGTTCCCTTGCCAGGCATTGGTGATGCATGCCTTTAATCCCAGCACTTGGGAGGCAGAGGCAGGTGGATCTCTGTGAGTTTGAGACCAGCCTGGTCTACAAGAGCTAGTTCCAGGACTGCATCCAAAGCCAGAGAGAAACCCTGTCTCAAAAAAAAAAAAAAAAAAAAAAAAAAAAAAAGAATGCCGTCTGTGGTTCCCTTAACACATCCAGGTTTATAAATGTGTAGCCCCTGGCCTGTCTGCTGACTGTTACAGACTTAACAGATTTACAGGCATTTTGCTGTAAGTTGCTGACAGTCTGTTATTTATATATATATATTTATAAATATATATAGATTTAGTGACTATACTGGTTTGGCTGGAAGATATTTTTGTGCAAAATAGCTAAAACCTATCTGAAATAATAAACATGTAACATATTCATTCCCTGGAGCAAGGGGGCCTGATTTTATGTTGGAATAAGGACTTAAGCCAAACAGAGTGTGAAGGGCTGTTTTGCTTTGATGTAGGAGCAACTGAAAATGAAGGACCAGTCATTGAGAAAACTACAACAGGAAATGGACAGTCTGACATTTCGAAATCTGCAGCTTGCCAAGAGAGTGGAACTCCTTCAAGATGAGCTAGCACTAAGTGAATCTCGAGGCAAGAAAAATAAGGTAAGTTCAGTACAGGCCCGTGTGGCCTGTGGAGAGGTACCAACTGGCTTCAGCAGCAAAGCCGCTCCAGGCCCTCAGTGCTCCTGAAGGGAGATATTTGTCATTAATGCATCCACATAGGGGCATTTTCCTGTTTTGTTTATGAGATAAGACATCCTTGTGTATATTTCAGACTAGCCTGAAATCCTCAATTCTTGTCTTAGCCTCCTGGTGCTGGAATGACAGATGTGTGCCACCGCGACCAGTTCAGGGGCGTTTCCATAGGAAAGTCAGTTCTTAAAAAATTATTAGGAGCAAATGTGCATAATTGAGTTAGCAGGTGAGAAAGATCAATGGGATATCTCATATCGATCAAAATTGATGTCTTTGTTACCTTGATTTCTGCTAGTGGCTCAAGCAGATAGCAACTGGAGCCTCTGAGATGAGGCGTTGCCTTTGTGGTTTTACTTAAGAGGCAAATTTCTATGCTTAAAAGCATAAGAGGGGATGTTGGGCTTAGTATTGACTCTTATGTGACTATAGACCCATATTCTGCAAGTGTGTTAGCAGGCTGTGTTGAAAGGAAGAAGCAGACAGGGACCCTGAAGAAGGGCGTGTAGGGGAAAGGACACCAGCTCTAGAGTTAAGCTTGGTTTGAATTCTCAGCCTGCCATGTATAACCCTATGGATTTGGCAAAGTTGTTAATCTTTTAGCCTCAGGTTATCCATCTGTAAAGGGAATATGAAAATTAATAGTGATCCTATGAAGTGTATTATCATGTGCTATGTGATCTGTTTAGAAGAATGCTCTGAAGTATTCAAGTAGAGAGGGGACAAAGAGGGTCTACCAGGTAATATTAGAGTCACTAGGAAGTGTGCATGCTTTGGGGATCCCATCCAGATGATCCCTGGGAGGAGATACACTTAACCATGACTCTCAGGTGTCTTGTTGTTTTTATTTTTATGAGTTGGAGGTCTTACTCTGTAGCTCAGGCTGCCCTGGTATTAAATACATAGGCCAGGCCAGCCTCAGATGTGTAGCAGTTCTCCTGCCTCGTCTTCCTAAGTACTGGGATTCCAGGTGTGAGCCGCCATGCCTGGCTAACATACCAGATGAATTATTTAGCAGAAGTACCCAAGACTTGTGAATAAGTCTTAGTTGCCTCCAAGTTTGGAGCACAGAGGACCACAAATAAGTCATTCCACAGTGTGCCTTATGTACTTTCTGTGTTCAAATGTGATGGGTATTTAGTGTCTTTGGTTTTTTTAATATAGCTATATTTTCAAAAGATCTTTTCACCGCCAATTTGTGTTGTGTCAGCCAGTGAGTGCATTTGAAGTGATGAGTGAGATGCTGGAAAGGCTGAGATTGTGGTTGATGTCTACACACAGTGCTATTGTTAGACTGTCTTAGTTCTGTGTCACACAGAGACAGTCGTTCATTCTCAGATCTCCTAAACGGTGCTATTCTTCAGTGGAAAGGTTAATACTAACAAGAAAGGAATTTTTCATAAGCTCAGTTTTTTTTTCCTGTGCGCATAATAGCTTTATTTTAACATGGTTAGGTTTTTATTTAAATAGAATTTATGTGGACTCTTACATGGACATTTATGCTGCTACATGACTCATTGGAACTCCTTTAAGGTATTAACTAAGACTAACACAGTCTCCCAAACTGAAAGATCAGGTTGAGGTGAGGGTCCCTGCTGTTCTTCTAGCAACTCCTGCATTCCTATGCAAAAAATGGTGAGCCCATTTATTTTTTTCTTTATCCGTCTTGTAAGCTACTTGCCTTTGCAGTCTCTGCGGTTCCAGTTTGGGTGCCATAGGCGAAGTTAAGTGGTGGCTGTGTGCCTTTTTTGATTTTGAAAAGGGCGAACACACTGAAGACAAGCCTCTAAGGCCATAGGTGCTGTGTGCCTCAGCATGCTTCTCTAAAGGATCGGAGTTGTGTGGACATAACTTGTTCTTTTCCTCAGAAAGGTGGAGAGCCTGCTTCTCAGTTGAGTCAAGAGCAGAAGAGTGTGTTTGATGAAGATCTGCAAAAGAAAATCGAGGAGAACGAGCGGCTGCATATACAGGTGATAGAAAACTGTATTACAGAACATGGGTCTTAGGGACTGGCAAGTTGGTTCAGTGGATAAAGGTACTTGTTGTCAAGCCTGAGTTCACAACCTGGGCTCCATGTGGTGGAAGGAGAGATCCAACTCCCACAAGTTGTCCCTCTCACTACCACACGCATGCTGTCTTGTGCCCACACACAATAAATAAATTCACATTAAGAGACATGGATCTTGGCACTGGAGCGATGCCTCTGTGGTAAAGGGTGCTTACTGTTCTTCTAGATGACTTAAGTTCAGCTCCTACCACCTATTTTATGCCTCAAAAATGCCTGTACCTCTAATTCCAGGGGATCCCTTTTCTGGCCCCTAAGGGCATTGTCTGCATGTGGTGCAGGTATATAACACGCAGACTGACAAAAACAAAAACATGATCTATGATGTGTAGATTTTTTTTTTTTTTTTTTTGAGACAGCTTTTCTTATAGCTCAGTGCTAGCCTTGAACTCCTTGTGTTGCTGATGGTGTTTTTGGAATCTTAGTCCCATCCACCTGTGAAGCCTGGCATTACTGGTAGGCGTCACTGTGCCCAGCTATGAAAGACCTTAGGGACTGACTGCAGGATGGCTCAGTGCACAAAGGTACTTGTTGCCAAGGCTGACAGCCTAAGTTTAATCCCTGGGACCATAAACCGACTCTTGTCTTCTCACCTCCATACATGCCTGCACATGTGTACATGTGAACACACACACATACATGCAAGTAACTGGAAAAAGAAAAATCTTGACTAATTTGACTCAGTGCATTTTATGTCTAGTACTCATAACTGGTAATTATTATCAGACTCGTTAAGGAAGAAAGCTTTGTATGTTTTAGGAGCGGCACCTCAGTGGAATTGTCTATAAGTAGTGAGACAAAAGCCGTACCACACATTTAAGCTATTTCCATCTGTAAAAGAAGGATAAGAATTTGCCACTCCTGTTCTCTATAGAAATTAAGTGCCTTGGTGCCTGTAGCTCACCTCCCAACAGCTACACTGTGGTCATAGGTCACAGGGTCAGGGGTTGCTGCTGTCCTCACTGTATGATTGGGAGCTTTCCCTTTCAGTTTTTTGAAGCGGACGAGCAACACAAGCATGTAGAGGCTGAGTTGAAGAGTCGGCTGGCCACTCTGGAAACCGAAGCTGCTCAGCACCAAGCTGTGATTGATGGTCTGACCCGGAAGTACATGGAGACCATTGAGAAACTACAGAACGACAAGGCTAAGCTGGAAGTAAGCCCTGCTGCATGGAGGCATGTTAATAGCTAGGTCAAGGTCCTATAAGTTCTGGGTGCTGTGTAGGGACTCAGCCAGAGGCCGAACTGTCACAGCTTTTCTTTATTTTCCCTCCCCTAATTCAGGTAAAATCTCAGACTCTAGAAAAGGAGGCCAAGGAGTGTCGACTTCGAACAGAAGAATGGTATGTGGAAACGTGAATTCCAAGGGCTCTTGAGGCCAGAATAATCAAAGCCCGAGCCTCGGTTTCACTCCTTTTTTTTTTTTTTTTTTTTTTTTTTTTTGTCCACACTGAGCTGAGGAGACTGGAGTAGGTCACTGCCAGGGTCCTTTTCCAGTCTCAGGGGATACAGAATTTTGACAGAGTGGCCTCTGTTCTGTCCCAGGTCTGGGAGACCCTGCTCCTGGCTCCTGGGCCATGGCTCTGTGTTTCTGACTCAGTGGGGACAGGGACTGCCTAATAATCTCCAACAGGAAATATGATTTTTTTTTTTTTTTTTGAGACAGGTTTTCTCTGTGGCTTTGGAGCCTGTCCTGGAACTAGCTCTTGTAGACAAGGCTGGTCTCAAACTCACAGAGATCCACCTGCCTCTGCCTCCCTAGTGCTGGGATTAAAGGTGTGTACCACCAATGCCTGGCTGAAACATGACTTTCTTATGGTACATTCTGAATAAAATTGAAGTTATAGGATCTATAACTGAGAGATGTCTAAACCTTAGAGTATGACATAGCAATGTGCCAAAGCCATTCCATTCATGGTCTTAATGTTTTGGCTTTTGGTATTTACTGTAACACTTAGGTTTCACTGCACTGGTAGAAATACACTGGTAGTTTAGATGTTATCTGTGCTAATAATTTAGCCAAAACAGAAATTATCATCTTTTAAACTCAAGTAATAAATAATCTGGTATAATACTTTAAAAAACTGCACAATGATAGTTGAATAAATAATTATAGATAGTAAATAAGAAAGTTATGATTATCTTGGGGAAGTAGACTCAGGTTGTGCAAGAAACTGTCTCTATGGTGGATTCCCTGGGCATCTCCAGGGCTTTGGGGAATGGGGCTGGTTCCTTTCTTAATGTCATCTTTGAACAACTCTCAGCGGCATGTTCCAGATGTCGGCACAGCTCTCTGAAAGCCTGCCGCCAGCTGTTGGGATAACAAGCAGTTGATGACTCTCTGATTAGTAATAATGTGGTTTTGTGGGTCCTTTTTTCTTTCAGTCAATTACAGTTGAAGAATCTTCATGAAGATTTGTCAGGTAGATTAGAGGAATCCTTATCAATCATCAACGAGAAAGTACCTTTTAATGACACAAGTAGGTATTGCATAAACATTAAGTTTTCTGTCATTTGTATCTTTGAATTTCTCTATGGTAGCTGGTTAAGTAAGATAATTTCTAATCTCAGGAGAAACAAAAACAAAACAACAAATTGGCAGGTGGAAGGCTCTGTCTGGCTCTCTTGATCAGGTCTGGCTCTCTTGTTTCTTAAGGATGTTTTAAATTATCTCCCACATGCTCCAAAGCCAGCCTTCTCAGAAGACGTCCAATGCATTCTTTTAACTGCACTTCTTGTATCCCAAGCCAAACCAACATGCGCATGAAGTGGCAGGATGTTTGCATAAGGGAAACTGTTCATTGGGTTTGGGGGGTACGTGTGTCCACAGTGGGATGTGTCTTTTTGGCCTGTTGCTTCTGCTCCTTGGGAAATCCCCAGCAACAGGAAGCTGTTGAGAAGTTTAGCCTCTGGTTTTCCTTCTCAGGATGGGCCTGGTGGCTCACAAATCCACGAGTAACAAAAAAGAACTTCAATAATACCCTAAAATGGCACTCTTCATGTGCAATAGATGTTTAACTTGTAGGTAAGAATTAAACGAAGCCCTTGAAAACAAAAACATGTTTCCTGGGGAGACCAGTGAAATGTCTAAGTGGGTAAAGGGGCTTGCTGCTAAGCCTGACAACAGAGTTTAGTCATCAGGACTCCCAGGAGTTGTCCTTTGGCCTCATATATATTCAGGTGTCTGTTCTAACAAATAAATTGGTTTAAAAAAATTTTTTTTAAGAAAAAATATATTTGGAATTTGAAGCCTACAATCAGGTTAATACATAGTTCCTTTTTCTACAGCTACACTGGAAATTTGATTTTCAGTTCCCTTAAACTTTTCTTAGAAAAGCCTGGGGTGGGGGTTGAAAGAGAAGAGAAAACAGCACTTGCATCTCATCTAAAACCGGCACAGGTGGGGCTGGAGAGATGGCTCAACTGTTCCAGAGGGCCTGTCTCTGTTTCCAGCACGCACATAGTAGCTCCTAACTGTCTGTAATTCCAGTTCCAGGGGGTGTGGTGCTGTGGGCTTGCATGTGGTACACAAACAAGCAAAGCCACTCTTTTTGTAACATTATGGTTACCAATTATATGGTCTGAGCTATTACAGGAGATGGGGAGCGGGTTTCTGGGAAAGGTGCCGGGGTTAATTCTTACTGAGTATTTAAGATAACTCAGGAGAGAAGCATGCTGACCCCGGGATGAACACTGTGAGGGAGTGGTGTGAGGAGGGAGGCCTAGGCAGGGTCCTTGGTGAGCTCTCCATCGCAGAGACGGGTAGTGAGGGGCTGTGATAGAGAGAAGTCTAGGAAACTGAGGATTTTCATGAAGCGAGTGTAGGAAAGGCAGCCGAACCTGCTACTAGATTCTGTGACTTTGAGAGGACTAGTGATTTTTGAGGGGAGTGTTTATGCCCACCAGATTGCTAGCACAAGGACTTGGGGGGTACATGGGTTCTAGGGGACTGATAAAGTGATGTTGTTTATCTAGCCAGTGGAATTCAAGAAGTGGGCGAGGGCACAGCGTCGGTTATGGAATAGGTGGCGAAGGGAGGGGCTGGATATGGTGGTGCATGTCTATTATACCAGCATGGGGGAGGCTGAGATGAGAGTACAAGTCTGAGACCAGCCTGGGATGCATAGCAAGACTCTGTCTCAAAAGAGGACAAGAAGTGGAGGAGGGGACGGCCAGGTCTCTGAGCCAGTCAGAGGAGCTGTTGCTACAGAGCCCAGGAGAAGCCCAGGAGAGGATTAGTTTAGCTATGGGTTTCAGCCTCTCAGGTGGCATTTCGGGAGTGTAAGAACAGACCAGGGATTGCAGATAGGGCTCAGCAGTTGCAAGCACACACTTCTACAGCAGACACAAGTTTAATTCCAGCACCCATAGCAGGCAAACAGCAATTCCAGGGAATCTGATTTCTTCCTTTAGCCTCTTGGGCACTTGCACATGTGTAGTATGCACAGTAACACACACACACACACACACACACACACACACACACACACACACACACGAGGGTGGGGTGGGGTGGGGTGGAGGAGGGAGAGGGAGAGAACACCTTGACCTTGGCCCTGGTCCTGGCATACAATGGGAGGAGATGAGGAATGGTCATCGGGACAACAGATGGAAAGGTTTGGAATAAATGTCCTGTAAAGCATGAGTGGACACAGCAATGAAGCAATAGATTGGCTTCCTGGTAGAGTTGAAGTTGTGTGGAATACATCTCTGGTTTTGTTAACCTGGCTCTGGTTTTGTTAACAAAGAGCATTATTGAAGTGATAGACCAGCTTTTGGGGGTAGGGTGAGGGGTGGGGACAAGAAGGAAGTCTCCAAGGCAACTGGTAGAAGGCAGAGGTGCTGAGGGACAGAGCAAGCTGGGACCACAGCGAGTGATGGCATTGGAGATAGCACCGGTGAGAATTGGCTTGTGACTGGCTGAGTGACTGAGTGGTGAGAGGAGATGAAGGTCTTTAAAATGACAGACAAAAGCAGTGTGGTGCTTGGTGTTAGGCAGCATCTGAGGCAGGTGATAGCTCGAGGAAGACCAAGGAAGACCTTGGGAGCAGCCAGGAAAGAAATCCCCAAGGGGCTGGGACCAGCAGCAGCAGTGGTGAAATACGGTCCTGTCAGGGAAACTGGTACTTTGGAGGATTAGTGGGGCAGTCCAGGCAGGCTTATTGTAGAAGAGAGACTGCTACCAGCTAGAACATCACCAGCCTTTGTAAGGAACCTTGAGAGGCCCCAAGGGATTTCTTTGACTTGGAAATCCAGGAGTAGTTTGTTTCTTTTAATCTTTTAATCTTTTAAACAAAGAAACAATTATTGATTGCTTGTCAGAGAAGCCACAGATTCCCTGTGTATCCCAACCTCCTGTGCTGTGACTGTGGTGTCAGTCACTCTGAGTTCTCATGGGAAGCTCAGTTTGAGTTGTTGCTCTCCTGAAGACTGAGATGGCTCTAATGGGCACCCCTTTTGTTCTGTAGAGTATCATCCATACAACGCTCTCAACGTTCCTCTGCACAACAGGAGACATCAGGTAAAGGAAGGAGCAAGCTCTCAGGCTCAGCCATGCTGCACTGTTCCGCCAGGTGCAGTTAGTTGCTGGGGCCTCTGTTTGAGATGCTAGGCCACTGCTTTTGCTTATCCTTTTCTTTAAGCTGTATGAGTTGCTTTTATTGAATTCATGCTCTACTGATGTTCTAAATTTTTATTTAGTTTTTACATTAACTTATTTACTTGTTGGGGTGCTCACATGTGAGGTCTAGGGGCAAGTAGTGGGTGGGAGTCTGTTTCTTCCTTCCACTATATGGGTCCTGTGTATTGAACCATGATCATCATTGGGCATGGTGACATTGGTGGCAAACACCTTTACCCAGGGCTACTCCTGTTTTTTTTTTTTTTTTTTTGAGACAGGATCTCACTGTGTAGCTCTGCTGTCCTGGAACTCACTGTGTAGATCAGGCTGGCCTTAAACTCACAGAGATACCCCTGCCTCTGCCTCCCGAGTGCTGAAATTAAAGGCGTGTGCCACCACACCTGGCAGTACCGTGATTTTTGATATTTTTCTCATTTTACTACATTAGAACTGAATTATTGGATGCCTTACTGTTTGAACAAGGCTTCTGTGTTAGGGTAGTGGGCTTTGTACTCAAACAGCTGAGGCCACGTAGAAGAGGTGTATTTGCCAAAGCCATGGCTTCCTAATGTACTTGGACTGGAGGACGCTGAGATTCGAGTGGGAACAAATGAATGTAGACTGAGCCATCTCACTAAGGTTCAAGTGCTTTAAAACAATTGCTCCATAGTTGACTATGTGTCCTTTACATTTTGAAGCTGAAGATGCGGGATATAGCTGGGCAGGCCCTGGCTTTTGTTCAAGATCTCGTGCCGGCTCTTCTGAACTTTCACACCTATACAGAACAGAGGATTCAGATTTTTCCTGTGGATTCTGCCATAGACACTATATCACCTTTGAATCAGAAGGTGAGTACTCACGATGCCCTTTGTGGGCAGATGGGGAGAGCAGATAGGGAATATTTTTCAGCCTACTTCTCTGTATTAGCCAAGTATGGTGGGAGACATGGAAGAAGACATGGAAGAAGTCACAGTCTTCACCAAAACAGTATGGCGTTAAGAGATTAAAGCTAGGGGAGCTGTCAGGAGATGGAGAGTGAGCAGTGCAGGAAGTAATCAAATGTAATAAAATGAGGGAGGGAGGGAGAGAGAGCAAGTGAGTAGTTCAGACAGGCGCTGGCACTGCCACTGCGTGTGGAGTCAGTGGGGAGGGGAATCTTCGAAGATTCTCTTGTGGTTTGGAGTTTTGAAGGCTGAGTGAGACTTGAGTGTAGGAGGAGGGATGGTGTTTGTTTGTTTGTTTATTTATACTCCCTGAAGGAATTATGTGAGTAGAAATGGGAAGCAGGAAAGCATGATGGGTGGGGCTGAGCTTTGGGGAATGATGGAGAGTTAGTGTGCAGTGAGCTTCTGGAAGGTAAAGTCCCTGGAAGGGAGGGATGGGATGAAAGTTAGGAGAGCAATGTGGCTTTTTCTGAGGCCCTTGAAGCCAGCAAAGGCCGAGACCTTCCCGTTACAAGATTGAGGGTGTGCAGCTTTCTGACAGCAGTTGGCAGAATGGAAGTTTCTGGTTTATTGCCGGGAGCGCTAATCCTCCAGCATGTTTCTTTCTTGTCTGTAGTTACTATGAACCTGTCAATGGCCAAATGGCCAGTGCAGTCTGTCCACTCTTTCCTTCTGCTGAGGTGTCTTGTGGGAAACGGCAGAGCCAGTTGAGCGTGGCAGCTTTTTGGGGTCTGTGGGATTTAACTGAGATAGAAGAGGTTTGCGTGTTACTCTCTCCAGTCCCTCTGCTTTCTTCCAAAAGAGTTTGCCTTTGTACCCAGGTAATTCTAAAAAGGGTTTGAAGACATCTGCAAAATTTTATTTTATTATTGTTTTGTGTTTTTGAGACAGGGTTTCTCTGTGTAGCCCTGGCTGTCCTGGGACTAGTTTTGTAGACTAGGCTAGTCTCAAACTCACAGAAATCCACCTGCCTCTGCCTCCTGAGTGCTGGGATTAAAGGTGTGGGCCACCATCACCCTGTGAATATTTTTATGTAACTATAAAGCTAAAATACTAATGAGTATATTCGTTTTATTGAGTGGACAGTAAGCTACCCAGGACTCAGTAGTTTAAAAGAGCAGACATTGCCTGTTTCCTGGTTTCTGTGGTCAGGAATTCAGGGACCTCTTACCAAGGGAGTTTGCGGCTCCTGGCATCTCATAGGCTTCCATGCTCGATGTCACTGGGGCTGCAATCATCTGAAGGCCTCGCTGGCTGAGGTTTGTACTTCTGAGGTGGCTCACATGCCTGGTTCGTCGGTGCTGGATGGTGCCTGGGAGCCTGCCCCTCATGTGCCCTTCTCTTTAGGGCCATTGCATGATACCTGATGTCCCTTAGAGAGCTTGGCTGAGAAGATGTGGAAGCCATGGTCTTTTAGGACACTTGGCTAGTCTCGTTTGTCATGCCTGTTGTGTTATTGGTCACATAGACTAACCCTGAACAATATAAGTGGGTAGCATTCAAAGGCAAGAAGACATGGACATCACTGAGGTTAACTTGGAGGCCAGCTCACATACAAGGGAAGTTAAGGGGATCTTGATCTTGTTACCGATGTGTCTTCTTTCAGAGAACTTGATAATGTGACCTGTGGTCAGCTATGCTTTCCTACTTAGTCCCACTCTTCCTAGCTTTTTTTTTTTTTTGGTGCATAGTGTAGTATTTCTAGGGGTTGGATATACTCATGTCTACCGTTACTCAGAGTGCCTAGTAGGTAGCAAAGATTCAAGTTGGACTTCTTGGGACACATTCTAGCTGTGTCTCCCTGGGAGGTTTATTTAATCCCTCTGCTTTGAATTGGAGAGGGGCCTGCCCTTGTCACAGATATGCACAGGTAAGAAGTACCAGAATGCCTGGCGTGTAGTGTGCTCTTGGTAGAAGTTAGCCATTGCCATCCTTGTCCTTGTTTCTCAGCAATGCTTGGTTTTTATCCACTTTAGTGACTCCGCCAACCTATTGAGCCCTGTAAAAATAACTTTTGTTATTTTAATTTGTACAGAGCACCTCATTATTTTGAAGAATTCATGTATTTCTCAGTATTTCATCATCTGTGCTTTGGCCTATGGAAGTCCCTCTGAGTTTTCTACTAAGTCTGTAATACTGGAGGTTTGACAACCTTTTGCTAAAAGATGGCCAGAATGTGTAAACTGTTTCTAGACTCTTAAAGTAACTGGGAACTCATACTTTACAGCCATGGGCAGTGGAGCCCAGAGTGTGTGGGCTGCGCAGGACAGTATTACTATGTAGTTTCCATAGGGTCACCTTTATAGAAGGCGAGATAGTCCGTGTCTATGTGCAGAAGTTCAAACTTGAGCCATTAAGAGATACCTAGATGGCTGAGATGTTTTGTAACTGCATCTTACCCCTTTGCTTGGAAATTGTCTAGAATATAGTAGGACCCCCCTCCAGTGTTGGGGGACACCCCTCACATAGGCCAAACATACTGTATCACCCAGCTATAACCATATCCTCCTTACTCTGTTTGCATACTATTCCATCAGTGATGCTAATGAGTGTTTTAAAGGTCCTGGCATTTGTTAACCTTGAACAGTGTATACAGTAAAACAAGGAGCTGCCTTGTGGCCTTGGGTTGTGTCAGGAACGGTCTTTGCGGGACTGCAATGGGAGGCAGCTGAGTGCGGGAGTGTGGATGAGGGAACAGCTAGCTATAGATAATAAAGAAAGAGAAACAGAATAAAGATCAGGAAGGCAGATCAGTCAATACTGAAATGCCACGAGTTTATTTTTTGCCACTCTTATATACCATAACCAAAAAGGGCAATATAGAAGCATGTATATGGAACAAACTGACTTTTCTTCCTCAGTTATTCTAAGGGTTTAATAACCACATCTTAGTTCTAACTTCTTGTTCTCTAGCCTTGAGGTCAGGAGTAGCCAGCCATACCTCAGATTCAACTTCTCCTTCCCTAGCCTTGACAGTCAGGAGTAGCCACACCCCAGATTCAGGTCTGTTGTTACTTAGACTGAGACAGTCAAAACATCCATACCTTTGACCTTTAGGTCTTATGACTTGCTGACAGCTTTGAACTCTCTGCCCTTGTGCCAAGATGGAGTGCAGCCATCTGCATGGGCACTCACAGTCTTGAAAACTGAGGTGATGAAAGGTAATACAAAGTCCACCAACACTTCTGATTTTCTCCTGACTAGGAACCCTGCAGAGCAGCCGGTGCTCAGGGACCCTAACTCATTCAGCTCTTCGCTCTTTGAGGTGCTGCTGGCTGTCTCTCCATTTCCCCAGCGGCCAAGCTGTTCATTGTCACCCCTCTCTGCTTCTGTGACTTGGGATGGGGACCCACCTGGGAGTTTTATCTGGGGCTTTAGAGGGGTTTTCCAGAAACGTGTTCAGAAGAATGTTCAGTGAAAAGTCAGCGAGTCGTCCTGCCCCTGCTCATTTTCCATGGAATTAATTCAAGCTCTTCTTCTCCCATTCAGTTCTCCCAGTACCTTCATGAAAATGCGTCCTATGTCCGCCCCCTAGAGGAAGGGATGCTGCATTTATTCGAGAGTATTACTGAGGATACTGTCACTGTCCTGGTAACTAACTTCCCTCCTTGTTTCAATTCCGGGAAACACGGGTTCTTGTTGCCCAATAGCACCTTTAACTGTGGAATTATCTTTTTTATCCAGGAGACAACTGTGAAATTAAAGATGTTTTCAGATCACTTAACTTCCTATGTACGCTTCCTTAGGAAGATCCTTCCTTACCAGTTAAAAAGGTATTCATTCCCTGGAGGCCAGGGAGCTTGGGGAGCTGCGGGTGGGACCTGACCTGTTCTGGAGCTAATCAAACAGTAACAGGGCATCTTGTCTGTCTGGACTTTGTGTCTCGTGGCTGAGTAACATCAGTCAGCTGTGATTTCAGTAGCCCTCTTGTCTGCATAATCAGTGTTTTCAGTAACTGGGAGAAATATTTTGGTTTTATTCCTTTGTTGTTAATGTCTAGATGAGAGTTAGAATATTTGGCTTCTACATTTGAATCTTAATCCTTGAGTATCCTTAGAATGATATCTTTTTATTTTTATTATTGGATACTTATTTAAGTTATAAAATAGAATCTTTATCTGCTCTAGATCTTCTAGGCTATGTCACTCCACAACCTCTAACATTCCACCTTAAATATGCAGCATTAATATTTTTAATTCTACCTTAAATTTCTAGAAAGGCATAAAACTGTACTGGGAATATGATAAAATTGCTTGGAAGTTTTAATACTGTTTGTTTGTTTTGAGGCAATGTCTCACTATGTAGTCCTGGCTGGCATAGAGCTTGCTATGTAGATCAGGCAGACCTTGAATTTATAGAGAGCCACCTGCCTCAGCTTCTTGAGTACTGGGATTAAAGGGGTGGGGGTGCACATCTGGTTTTTCATGATTATATTTTAAAGCATTTGCTAAATCCTTTTTCCTAGTGGCAGATGCCCTTCCTTGTTGAGCTATCTTGCTAGCCTACCTTTTTCCAAATAGCCATTTTGAGCAGCTGGCCTGCTTGATAGAGTAATGGGAGCAGGTTGAGTAGAGCAGTCTTAATAAATGAGGAGACATGGAATGGGAGGGAATAGAGGAAATCCTGTTTTTTATGTTAAATCTTCTAGGGTTTGTTATCTTTTGTTTTGAGGGTAGGGACAGAGTTTGGCTAGCACAGTCTCACCTGAAGCTCACCATCCTGCCTCAGCCTTTTACTGGTGGGATTGCAGGCACACCACTCTGGGCATTTTTCTAGTCTTGTATGAATCTTTTTACTGGATTACTACAATTGTTAAATAAACATTATAGAGTCCTCCTCATTTTTTAAACTTTATAGTTAAGGTACCGACTTAAAGTTGAAAGTGGTAAAGTGTATTTTGTGATAATATTAAGTATTTATTTCTAAATTTGAGCCTATAGTAGCAGCAATACCAGTTTTTATTTAATTAATCAGGAATTAGTCAAATGGAATGTCTCCTATAAACGATTTAAGGATTTCCCCGGCACAGGTTCTGTGTGTGTGACTGAACTACCCAATGCATGTAGAGCAGAGGAAAGGCGAGGCAGATCTCAGGTTCTCAAGCCCACTCTCAGCTGCTGCAGCTGCTGCGTCGTCACTGACTGTGGTTCGTGGTCCTCAAAGCAGTTGTGCTCCTCCAACCCTGCGGAGCCAGCCCTTCCTCACATCTTTTCTTGGGGTTACATTCTTTTCTTACCAATTTTCATCCAAATCCATGGGGAAATGGGACAGTTTTGCTTTTGTTTCTGGGAACTATTTGACTTTAAAAGTCTTGTGAGAAGTCACAGTGAGAAACTGAGTGAGACCAATGTGCCTATTTTAAGAATTTTTAATATGGCCCAGAGAGATGGCTCAGTAGGTAGAGACTCCTGCTGTCAGGCCTGTTGAGATTCACTGGTGGAAGATGAGAACTGGCACCTACAGGTTTTCCTTTGACCCCCATGTCCACACTGTGGCACACGGACACATGCATACATCCATACAAATAAGTTTTTGGAGAAATGATTTTACTACTTAAAAAAATTATATTATTTTCATGCTCGAGAGGCAGCTCAGCTGTTAAGGGCACATTCTGTGCTTACAGAGCACCTACCTGGGTTTGATTTTTAGCATCCATATGGCAGCTCACAGCCATCTTTAACTCCAGCTCCAGGGGATACGATACCCTCTTCTGGGCTCCTCAGGAACCAGAGACACAAATGGCACGCAGGCATATCTACAAGCAAAAATAAATATATACATACATATATATATATATATATATATGTATGTATATATTTATATGTACATGAACGTAAAACATTTAGACACAAAAACAAATCTTTTATTTAAAAAGGAAAATAAGGTCTCCAGGATACTCACTTTTAAAACCCTGCTGTTCCTAGCCTAGAAGAAGAATGTGAATCTTCCCTTTGCACACCTGCACTGAAAGCCAGGAACCTGGAGCTATCCCAGGATGTGAAGCGGATGACAGCCGTGTTCGAGAAGTTGCAAACGTACATCACTCTCCTTGCCCTGCCAAGTAAGTAAGACTGCTGCTTGTGACACAACTTGAAGGACTCGAGAGGACAAGAAGCTGGAATAGGGACATGGTTTAGCTTTGGGGACTGAGCAGAGCATAAGATCTAGACTCAGAACCTGGAATTCAGTGAGCAGAGTTAATGGACTCCAGGAGTAAATGAGGTTGAATGTTGTGTTATGGAGTTAAGGTAAACTATTTGTCATTAACCATGCATTAAATATAATCCCCCTTCTCTTTTTTTAAGTGGAGAAGGGTGACTCATGAATGTTTGTGAGATGAACATAATAACCAGTTCACCACAGAAACTGCAGGGGGCATCGTGACCATTTGTTAGCAGCCACAGTGCATGGGAGCTTTTAAAGATGCTCATTGTTTTCCTCTCACCTAATTAGAGAGAAACACTTAAGAAATTGAATGAGCCTCAGTTTCAGGGATCTTTTTTAAAAAAAGAAACCCATGGTTTTAGGTAGGCCTGGTGTCAAACATCTGTGTTCTCAGAACTCAGGAAGCTGAGGCAAAGTATCCTAAGTTCAAGCTAGCCTGGACTGTAAAGAGAGGGAGGAAGGGAGGGAGGAAAGAGGGGTGAGGGAAGGAAGAAGGGAAGGGAGGGAGGAAGGCAGGACATTTTTTTTACAGCATATAAATGAGAGCATAAAAAAATACTTTGTTTTTGTCTTTTTATTCTCTGTTACCTACTGTACATTTTACCCATTTAGAGTCCAAACCAGTACTTATCCATGTACTCACACGAATGTGTGTGTGCCTGTAGCCCAGTCCACTTTTAACCATTTCCACCACCTGAAGAAACCCTGTATTCATTATGTAGCCGTTTCTTCCTAGTCTGCCATCCCTCCTGTCTTCAGCTCTAAGCAGCTACTTCTCTATTTCCTGTCTCCAGATTCATCAATGGAACTACTGCATGTAGTTTGGTGTTAGCTTGCTTTCAGGTAGTAAAGCTTACAAGACTGATGTATGTGTCCACACTCCATTCTTTTTATTGCGGTGTACTACTTTATTGCTTAGATGTACTGAATATTATATGTATGTCCACCAAAGATTTGGCCTGTTTGACTATTAAGAATAATGCTATAGATACTAATGTTTTCAGAGCCAGAGGCTTACATACTCTTGCTATTTCTCAGGCGTCAGCCTTGGGCATGTGCAGTCATCACACAGAAAACAGTTGTTTGAGGGTCCCTCCTTCACTCTCTCCTTCCTTCCTCAGACCCTGGTTTAAGCTCTTTTCATTGCTGGATAATTGCTCTGTGCTTTTCTGCAGGCCTTGGGACATACATTACATTAAATATAGACTCCTTTGGAGTTATAACATTTAACTAGCTGGTAGCATTTTTGAGGTTAGTGTTCTGACCCCAGGAGGGTTGTTTCTGTTCACAGCCTATAGTTTAGCTTATTGGATTGGCCACTTTCTCCTGTGCTTTCACTGGTTTCTTCTCTCTCTCTCTCTCTCTCTCTCTCTCTCTCTCTCTCTCTCTCTCTCTCTCTCTCTCGTCACAGTTGGAAATTCTCCATGTATTGCAAGTGAAATCATTTCCCTTGAGGAAAGGCTCAGAGCCTAAGGCTGCTTCTCTCTAGAGCTAAATCTCAGAGTCACGGTTCACATGTTGGGGACAGTTGTGTCACAGCAACATCAGGTCTTTTTAGCTTGCCTCTTCAGTGTGGAACTCACGTTGATAACCAAGGCAATGGTGACAAGGGCCACACAATCTCAGCAGTACTTGTTCAAGGCAGAGCCCTGTCTCAGAGGGGCTTAGGTGAGGGAACGAACCCCTCCCCACTTCTTGGCCGCACTCAATCAGAATTTAGCATCAGCAGCCAGTGGCTGGAAGATAGAGAGGGGCGGCTGTGTGCTGGGTGTCTGTTGAGAGTGGGGTTTCTGTTGCACCGAGCTAGCAAGAGGATATCTGTGCTCACTTAGCACAGACTTGGACTGTTCCTTCTGAGTTACTACTGATTTTCTTTTATTGTGTGTGAATTCACTATAGTGTTCTTGTGTGTGCACGTGTGCATGCCCAGGATATGTGTAGTTATGCATGTGTATGAGGGAATGGGGTGGAGGTCAGAAAACAACTTGTGGAAATCAGTTTTCTCTACTCTTCAGGGTTTCTGGGATTGGGTTTAGGTCCTCAGGCTCAATGACAAGTGCCTTCACCTGCTGAGCCATTTTACTGGCCGCCTTTTGGCTTCATAGTCATTAAAAATGTGTGCCTGGGAGATGTGCATCAGTTAGATGTGCCTGCATCCATTACCACCATTTGTGACTGTATCTGCAAAGGTTTGGAAAGCCATTATTTCTGACACATTGTAAGCAAACTCCATTCTCCCTGGTCTGCAGGACAGAGTGGGAGGGTGGGCAGTCAGCTCCAGGGAAATGCTCATAGGGCCTGTGATTGGCTCTTCTAGGCACTGAGCCAGATGGACTCCTTCGGGCAAACTACACATCCGTCTTAACAAATGTTGGCGCAGCTCTGCATGGGTTTCACGACGTCATGAAAGGTGAGCCTTGAAGTTTGTGAAAACCTTCAGTTTTCAGATCTGCCTGCACAGCATTGGGCATACATGGAAGTGCACAGCCCCGGCCTTCTGTTCTTCTGTCCACTTCACTGTGAAAATGAACACAGCACTGAAGGGAAGACCCTGTGCTCCATGCTTCACTGGACTTGACACAGGTGTGGGTGGAACCACACCAAACATGCTGTTTACAGGCACAAAATTTGTTACACCTGTCAAGGCTCAGGCATGAAGGAACTGAGGAAACGGAGGCCATTGTGTCTAGAAAGAGTATAGAGTACACCATTATCCTGTGACTGTTTATCTTTTTGAGACAGTCTCATTATGTAGTCTTGGCTACCTGGAACTCTATAGCTGCAGCTAGCCTGTGATCTTCCTACCTCTGTCTCTGCAATGCTGGAGTTGCAGTCATGTACCATCTGCCCAGTATTTCCCCAGCACCCTTTTTGTTTTTCTTTCTTTTTCTTTTGGTGTTGCTCAGTGCTGGTGATTGAACCCAGGACCTTGTACATTGTATTTAAGTGTTCTAACCCTGAGCTACATTCCAAGCTCATGTTTTGGTACTTAAAATGTCTGTTTTAAATCTGGCTTTGTTGAGCCTAACTTTAAGAAATAAAAGTATCAGAAGTGGTGGCAAACACCTTTAATTCCAGCACTCTGAGGCAGAGGCAAGAGGATCTCAGTTCTAGACTAGTCTACATAGATAGACCTTGTGTCAATAAAATAAAGGAACAAATACAAAGTATCTGTTTTAAGGTCTTGCCCAATTTTTATTTGGTTCTGTATTTTCAAGAACATAGCTGGTTAAAAGGCTGTGGGGGAGCTTTTTTTCCGAGACAGGGTTTCTCTGTGTAGCCCTGCTAGTCCTGGAACTCACTTAGACCAGACTGGCTTCGAACTCACAGAGCTCCGCCTCTGCCTCCCCAGCCTTAAGGCTTTTCTTAGGCTTCTTGAGTGATTCTGAGATGTAATCAGTCTATAGCTCTGTATTCTTTCTAGATGCCCTGCCCTTTCTCCCTTCTCAACTATGGGGAAGGGGGAAGATGTAGGAGCTGTTTGAAGAGCATCAGCTCAGAGGCCTGGATGGATGGTTCACTGTACTGTTGACAATATATATAACCCTTATAATGTGTAGGAGGTATAATTAATGCTTTCCTCAAGATTGGCATCTCATAATATCTTTATTTTATTTATATTGCTGTTCCAATCCAGCAGTTACATCCAAGGACCCTAAAAAGATTTAAAAACATTAGCTTGCTTTGTTTGTGTATTTTCTGAGGTCAAGATGCTGCTGAGTGGTCCGGGGCAAAGCATGTTATTTTTCTTGTTTGGCAAGAGCTGACAGACTGGGAGAGTTGGGGCCTCCCTGGCCCTCTGTGCTGCTACTTCTTTCTTTTCTTTCTACTTGTTTCTCCTCTTTCTTTTAGTGTACCAAATAATGGGTTTCATTATGACATTTTCAAACTTGTTTCTGCTCTTGAAAATGGACATAAAAAGAAAAGTGGGAAACATGAAGGATGCTGGGAAGTGATTACAGGGCCTGGTTGCTTGGGTTACAGTTTCTGTCTGCTTACCTAGCTTGGGTAAGCTAGGTAATTATAAGCTTGCACCACAATGCCTATTGGAACCTTGTTTTTTGTTCTAAGATTTATTTATTTGTTATATATACAGTGTTCTGCCTGCATGCCAGAAAAGGGCACCACATCTCATTATGGATGGCTGTGAGCTACCATGTGGTTGCTGGGAATTGAGCTCAAGACCTCTGGAAGAGCACCCAGTGCTCTAAACCTCTGAGCTATCTCTCCAGCCCCTGGAACCTTGTTTTTTAAGACACCTTTTGTGGCAACTCTACCCTCCTGCTTTTCCATGAATAATAATTGCTTGGTCTAATTTAGACACAGGGAGGAAAGTCCAGGTAGATTGTTTGGAAGGTTGTTAGTGTAAAAAGATAGCATGGGAGTTGTCTTAGCCAGGGTTTCTATCACTGTGAAGAGACACCATGACCATGGCAACCCTTATAAAGGAAAATGTTTAACTGGGGTGGTTCGCTTACAGTTCAGTGGTTTAGTCCATTGTCATCATGGTGGGGCATGGCAGCATGCAGGCAGACATGGTGCTGGAGAAGTGGCTGAGAGTCCTCCATCTTGATCTGCAGTGAACAGGAAGTGAATGGAGACACTGGGTGTGGCTTGATCATAAGAGATCTCAAAGCCTGCCCCCACAGTGACACAGTGCCTCCAACAAGACCACACCTATTAATAGTGCCATCCCTTGGGGGAGGGGGCATTTTCTTTCAAACTACCACAGGAGTTATCAAAATGTGTGTGTGTGTGTTATAATTTACCTATTATTTTATGTGCATTGTTGTTTTGCCTATATGCGTGTCTGTGTGAGGATGTCAGTTCTTGGAATTACAGACAGGTGTGAGCTGCCATGTGGATGCTGGAAATGAACCCAGGTCCTCTGGAAGAGTAGTCAGTGCTCTTAACCACTGAGCCATCTCTTCAGCCCCCAAAATGTATGTTTTATATGGAATTAAAATGTAATTGAGGGCCAGCAAGATGGCTCAGTGGGTTAAATGTTCATCACCAGGACTGACCACCAGAGTTTGATTCCTAAGACCCACATGGTAATAGGAGACAACTGACTACTGCTTTAGGCAGTCAACTGATCTCCACATACATGCTGTGGCATGCCTGAGTCCACACAGACACACACGAATGCAGGTGCAAACACACATGTGCACACATACACATACACACACATGCATGTGCATGTGCACGCACATACAGACACATATGCTCATACACACATGCACACACACATGCTCATATAGACATGCATGCATGCACACACATGCTCTGCTTGCTGATGCAGCACAGCCCTGATACTTGGGATCATTGCTCTCAAATGCTCTTAATAAACCTAACCTGGAAGTCTAGTTGTGTGAATGGAGCAGGCTGGCTAGTTGCTTGCACCCTGTGTGTAAATAGTAATGTTTGTATCTCATCTCATCTTTTTTTTTTTTTTTAATAGACCTTTCCAAACACTACAGTCAGAAGGCTGCCATAGAGCATGAGCTTCCAACAGCAACTCAGAAGCTGGTGACGACAAATGACTGTGTCCTTTCCTCAGCAGTGGCATTAACAAATGGAGCAGGGAAGGTAACTGTGCTCGGCTGACCCCAACTGAAATTCAGCTCTTTAATGTGCTCCTTTGAAAACAGTGACCTGAAAATTGACCATAAAAGGAGCGTGGAATATAAGGCCCGTATATGTGTGTGTGTGTGTGTGTGTTTGTGTTTGTGTGTGTGTGTGTGTGTCAGGGTGGAGTCTAAGGTGGAACCAGGGCCTGTGCATTGTAGGCAGACACTCTGCCATTGTGTTGCACCCCCAAACCTTAAGGTCTCCCTTTTTAAAACAGTAGCTTACTTTTCTTTACCATTACTCAACACTGCCTGCACCCTCAGTTTTCTTCAGCTGAATCGTCTACATTTGAACACTGATAGTGGCCATTCAGTGTTACAGTGAATCTGTTGTTCACTCACTGTTTCTTTAAGCCGTCTAAAGTATTTTTCAGTTTTTTATTTTACATAAAAAGCAGTGGGTTTCCTTATATTTCTTACACATCTGCCATTTTACTTTGCTTGTATTCACCCCCCATCTCTCTTCCTCTTTCAGTAATGTTTTCCCTCCCCTTAAACAGTTCTCTTCTGGCTTTCATGATACAGAAAAGTAAACACACACGCATGCACGCACTCACGCGCGCGCGCGCACACACACACACACACACACACACACACACACACACACACTTTGTAGTCCAATAGTTTTGAGTACTATTTTATAAAAGAATATCTTCTTTTTATTAGGCGGTGAGTGTTCATGCTGTGGCTGGCATACCTGGAAAGGTCAGGGGACAGCTTGTGGGAGTGAGACTTCCCTTCTACCCTCAGGACCCTGGAGGTTGAACTCTGTTCATCAGGGTTGGCACGAAACCCCTTCACCCCTGAGCCATCTACCTAGCCCTCAGCACTAATTTTATTGAATACTCCCTGTATTAGATAGTTTCCTTGTCTGTGACCAAATGGCTTACAGAAACAATTAAGTGGAGAGGAGGTTTATTTTTTAATTATTTCTTTTGCAATTATAATATAATCACATTATTTCTCTTTTTCTTCCCTCTAAACCCTGTTATATACCACTCTTTGCCCTCTTTCACATTATAGCCTCCTTTTCATTAATTATTGTTACATGCATATATCTCTCCAAGTATAACCTACTTATAAAGTAGAGTAAGGTAGAAAAGACCAGTTGCTAGATACTGATTTATTGATTTTTTTTTTTTTTTTTTTTTTTAAAGCATTGCTTGTACTTGCTACCTGGGACAGAGTGACCTGGAGAAATAGCTGAAACAGTGGTGGTTGTCCTTAGCAACCTGCCGACAGCCATGTATACTTCTGTATACACCCCACTCTGTGCTTTTAGAGTAGAAAATGAGAATGCAAACTGGACTTGGGACTGAAGCCTTTCAGGGACTGTCCTGGCCTCAGTCCACTGGTGATGATATCTCGTCTCTCCACTCTCAATGGTGTCAGGGTACTTACTCCAGGAAGTTACCCGCAACACTCAGTCTGTATAGTGTTACTCGTGTGTGTGTGTGTGTGTGTGTGTGTGTGTGTGTGTGTGTGTGTGTTCAGGGGTGACCATTTGGTATTGGATGACCAACTGGAGTGCTCTTCCCTAGGGAGGATCATCTCTCCCCCTCTGAGCACTCCTCAGTTGCCTGTAGTTCTTTGTGTAGGGTTCTTAAGCCTCATGAGCTTTCCGTGTGTGTTTTGGAATGTCGGATGTTGTATTTGGCTCATGGTTTGAGGTGATTTATTTACTATGTTAGAGAAGGTGAGGTGCATCCCTGACAGTGAGCATGTGACAGGGAACATCACATCTACGGTCAGGAGGCAGGAGACCTGTAGGCTGTACCATGAGCAAGACCCAAACTCCACCAGCTGTGACTAAATGTTCAGTCATGTGGACCATATAGTACCTAACCTTGAGCTTACTTGATAGTGTAAAAAGCTGATAAAAAGTAAAACATGTAGATGATTAGAGTTTGATTGCTTAGTTCTGAGCAATGTTTGTCAAGGCAGAACACTTACTTTCTCATACTTACAAAGATAGAACACTGGCAGTGTATCCAGAACTTCTTTTTGTAGCAAGGACATTTAGGCAGATATTTTCTTTATATCACCACTTCATATAGCACTATAGAATTCAAAATCATTGCTCAGCAAAATTTTTATTTCATTGGTTCTTTGTAGCTGTTACATAGACTTAACAAATGATAAATCTGCAAATAACAAGAATCTGCGTTTTTAGTCTTATTGTCTGTTCTATTTATAATTAACAAGTTAAGATTTTACAGAACTAAGTATAGATAGACTACTTATTTAAGGGGCTTATGTCATATCCATCCTGTCGGAATATGAGATGTTCTAAGTTAACATTAAAAATATCCAAACATAGATATCTTGAGGTCAGTACAGAAGTTATAGTTAATGAGAAACACCTACAGCTGGGTATGGAAATGCCTTTAATCTCAGCAGTTTGAGGACAGAGGAAGGAGGGTCTTCATGAGGTTAAGGCTAGCCTGGTCTACAGAGAGAGAGTTCTAGGCCAACCAAAGCTACATAGTGAGAACCTGTCTCAAAAAAGAAAGTCAGTCAATCACCAACAGAGGGACAAAAAGTAAACAGAGCGGGCATGTCTGGAGTCACCTGGTGTTTACTGGGTGTCTTCTTCCTATCATAATTTTGAAGGTATTTGCAAGTAAATAGGTGCATGCTTTGGGGCAGGTGTTGAAATTTCACTTCCATTCAAACTGCTCTGAGACTGTCTTAGTCACTGTTTGATTGCTGTGATGAAACACCATGGCAACTTAGAAAGCATTTAACTGGGGGCTTGCTCACAGTTTCAGAGGGTTACATGGTGGTAGACAGGCAGGTATGGTACTGGAGCAATAGCTGATAGTTCACATTTGATCTGAAAGTTGCAGGTGGACAGAGACTGGACCTGGCACAGGCTTTTGAAACCACAGAGTCTACCCCTGGCAATACTCCTCCTCCAACAAGTCCACACTTCTCCAACAGGGCCACACCTCCTCATCCTTCCCAAATAGTTCCTCTAACTGGGAACCAAATAGTCAGACTTAAGAGCCTATGGGGGCTGTTCTCACTCAAACCACAGCAGAGCCATTAGGTAGATATTTTAGATCACTGTTGGAAAATAGAATGTTTTCTTGTCATGCTGTGTTTAGATTGCATCTTTCTTCAGCAACAACATGGACTACTTCATTGCTTCACTGAGCTATGGGCCCAAGACAGCCAGTGGATTCATTAGTCCCGTTTCAGCTGAATGCATGCTCCAGTACAAGAAGAAAGCTGCTGCCTACATGAGGGCTTTGAGAAAGGTTTGTGGCCTCTGCTTATAGCTGTTTGTGTACTTACTTTACCTTTGTTCATCTTGTGTTGGGTGGTATGTCTTGTCTCTTTTGCTTTTGGAACCCTGGAAACATTCACAGACTTTCAATCAGTAGTTCCCTTCCTGAGAATCAGTCGTAAAGGCATCAGTTAGACAACTCTGGGGCACCAGGTAGCTTTGTGCATGGCCAGGGCAGCCCCCGAGAAGAGATGGAATGGAGAACTATAAGCCATGCAAACTTGTGGTTTTAAACATTGGACTTCTTAGTGGTCTACACATGTGCCTAAAAGATGTTTACAAGGGCCACAGCAGTGTTACTGTAACATTGGAAAATCAGAATTGGCCTCTCAGTGCTCATCAGTCAAAGCCTACATGCACCATGGAGCATCCATAGTTTAAAGCTCTGTTCTCCATTCAAGTAGGAATACAGAGGGCACCACATACAGAGTGACAAACAGATCACTAAAACATTCTGAATGCAAAAAGCAAGTTGTACAGTGAAACAGGTTTGAGAAAATAATGACAAGGGATTTTATACAATATACATAGATTTATAGAGATGCCTATAAATGTGCAAAGGGCCCAGGAATACAATCAGTTATGATTACCCCTGAATTGAACCTAAAACTAGTGTTCTACTTTAACAATGTATGTGTTTTGTAGTTGAAACTCTAAAACACAAACTAATCTCACTACATGCAGCACTGCATATAACAACAGTCTACACACTCACCAGCAGTGAAGCAAACATTACATGTTCATGGAATGGAAAACTCAATAGACATTAGGAGAGTGACCATCATGAAGGGATAGTGTCACATGCCTGCCATCATTAATGGCTTATATCATACATATGTATTATATGTATAAATATATATGGAACACACACAAGGCATTAGGAGGGTAAGAGCTTCTAAAATAATATATTCAAACAGGAGATACGTTTAGGTTTCCTTGTCTCTGTGTGCGCATGTACTACAGTCAGTTTTTTGCATTTAGACTCAGTCTAACAAAGGGAAGAGTCACATGTGAGTGGTAAGATTGGGAGTAAAATAAGGCATTGCTGCATTTTCTGA